TATATATATATATATATATATATTCAAAATTCTCATGTAAACTTGTAATATATAATTCAATACACGCCAATGCGGGTCAATGATGATCGTTACTGGGTTCATTGTATATATATTTGGACTCGTTTGGTTCCCGTATTAGAAATTGATAAATTGGATAAAATAATTTGTCTATTACAATACAGATGTATAAAAAAAAAATTAAATAGGATATAGAATAATACGTAATTTTATTTAGTGTTTGACAATACACAACATAAGCGTTAGATAGTAGTTATTTAATCTAATTGGTTGTTTGCTTAAAGAATTATTTCATTGTATTAATTAACAAAAATCCCCTCAATCAGTGTATTGAAATGTTTATTACGTTAATGATAGTTTGGTTTTATTAGTTTTAGGGTTAAAATACTAAATGTAAATAATAATATATTTAAGTTAAATTATAATATCATAAGGAGATTGGTGGTATTAAAATACCTCCATAATATAGGTCTATCGTATTAAAAATATATTATAAGTATACGTTTTTAAAATTAATACGAAATTAAATTTATCTACCAAATAAAATATTAGAGTCTATTAAATTAAATAAATAATAATATAATGTAATATTTAATTCACTTATAACACCATTTGTATTGAGTAAAATTATGGAAAAGAAGGTTTGGATTCATCCAAATTGTACTTCACTTTGTTCAAACAGTAACGTTTTATCACTCAGATTAGAGGCACGTGGTAACAGTAGCAATTTGTTTATTATTTTTTATTTCATAATAATTTATTACATTATGGGGAAAAATTCTTCTTTTCTAGCAAAGGGGTGGATCATAGAGTCAGCAATCCTAGTGCTCTGATTTGTACTTTTCAAAGGCTGCTTGCCTTGTTCAGAGTCTTTAGAGACGACCCCTAATTTCTAACTTCTGAACGCCCCCATTTCTTGTGAATTGCTTCTCTTTCATACATGAACCTTACCGTAGTTCTTTGTCTCTCCATCAATTCCTGAAAAGGCATGATGAATTCTGAATTGGGCATTCAAAAATAGTGAAAAAAATAGCAACCAGACCACCCATCATTGTCAAGAAGCCATTTTTTAACTTCTATTACACGTCTTTCTTCCTTTCCATTTGGTGTAGGCATCCATTAATGTGGTTGAGCCTCTGAAACTTTAAGCTTTAGAGCCTTGAGGCCTCAAAATCCATTGTGATGCATATGGGTGTTTGGTTAAAATTGTGTTGCTTCCCTCTTTACAACTTCTAAGCTTCAACCATGCAATCCATTATGTTCATGCCTCTAACCCTTTTGATATTAGTCCTCTTTAATACTTCTGTCTACTGCCAGAAGCCTGCTTTTGTGAATGTTGGTGCAATTTTCACTTACGATTCGGTCATCGGTAGAGCTGCAAAGGCGGCCATGGAAATTGCAGTCTCTGATATCAATGCCGATCCCAACATTCTCAATGGGACTAAACTGAGATTGGTCATGCAGGATGCAAATTGCAGTGTCTTCATGGGTTCCATGAGTGGTACCTCTCTCCTATTGTAACTTTCTCTGTTTAGTTTGGTTTAGTTCATCTACTTCTAGCATCCAAGTAAATGTATCTTTCCTTCTTTCCCTTGGAGACCAAACAGATCATATCTTAATTTACAAGTTGGGGGTTTAGAGTAGTAAACCACCATGTAAAGAATAGTACTTCCGATTAAGTGATAACAACTAACTTTATGACCTATATTATGTGCTTTGATATTTCTTGAGAAAAACAATGAAATTAACTTTGCTAGTAGGGTACATATGATCCCTCTTTGTCTGTATCTAGTTCTCTCTGTGTTTGTGCATGACAATGCTTCAAGTTCTGGTTTTATGTGTACATTTTGATGCACTTGCTTGTCTGACTCGATGTGTGGTGGTGGATGTTGGGGGCTTGATATACATTGTCGGGCCTATTCTCTATTAGCTTAAACTTTTGGAGTAATTGGTAGTATGACAATTTAACGCAAGGAAGTTTAACGCAAATAAGTCAATTGGATAATTTGAAATTTTCTATTGTCATGCTAATTAGCCTGGACCACAACATCCTGGCTGGGCGAGAGGGCTCTTTTGTCGCTTGATGTATCATAAATTAGAAAAAATGATGTCATTTTGAAGTTATTAAATGAATAAAAAAAATTCTTATTCACCAAGCAACCTGAAGAGATGAGCCCTATTAAGGGTTCTGTCTATACAATATTTGTTGTGACAGAAACTGAATAGTTGGCTTTCTTTTTAAATTGTTCAGCTTTTGTTTGGATTACTTGTGTTTGTCAGAATGCATGATATACACTAGTCCTTGCAAACTACATTATTATCTTAATTCCAATTGTTCATCAGCATTTCAGGTAATTGACAGAGATGTAGTGGCAATAATCGGTCCACAATCTTCCAGCATTGCTCATATGATTTCTCAGCTTGCTAATGGTCTCCAAGTTCCTCTCATTTCATATGCTGCCACTGATCCGACTCTATCTGCCCTTCAATTCCCTTACTTTTTCCGAACAACAAAAAGTGATTCCAATCAAATGGCTGCCATGGCTGATATTATTGACTTCTATGGTTGGAAACAGGTGATTGCTATCTATGTGGATGATGATTACGGTAGGAATGGCATAAATGCTTTAGATGATGAGCTTGAGAAGAAAATGGCAAAGATTTCTTATAAATATCCTTTACCTTCGGCGTCTGATCTCAAATATATCATTGAGGTGCTCAACAAATCAAAATTTCTAGGTCCTCGTGTTTATGTTGTTCATATTAATCCTGACCCAAGGTTGAGAATCTTTAGCATAGCTGAAAAACTTAATATGATGACTAGTGACTATATATGGCTTGCGACGGATTGGCTTTCTACTACTTTAGATTCGGTCTCCCCAAGAGATCAAGCTTCTCTGAAAATCCTTCAAGGGGTAGTTGGGCTTCGTCCACATACTCCACAAACCATCCAGAAAAAGGAGTTCCTGTCTCATTGGAGAGAAAAACAGCAAAGGGGGCTAGTAAGTTCAGAACCAAATGCATATGGACTATATGCTTACGATACAGTTTGGACAGTTGCACTTTCGATTGCTGAATTTTTAAATCATGGAAACACTATAACATTTTCTTCCAGTGAAAAGCTACATGATATGGAAGCAGATAAAATACTGCTCAGGAAGCTTAAAGTTTTTGATGGTGGAAAACTTCTACTCAAAATGTTGTCACAGACAAACTTCACTGGTTTGACAGGCCGGGTTCAATTTACTGCAGATAGAAATCTTGCGAGTGGTAGTTATGATGTCCTTAACATTGCACAGATGGTAATGCGTAGGGTTGGTTATTGGACTAATTATTCCGGTCTCTCAATTTTACCACCAGAAATGCTCAAAGAGAAGAAGAACTGCTATTCTCCTTTAGACCAAAGGCTTGGCAAAGTTACCTGGCCTGGTGGGAAGACAGAAAGGTCACGTGGGTGGGTACTTGGCACTGCTGACAGACCATTGAGAATTGGAGTGCCAATCAGAGCAAGTTATACCGAGTTTGTAACAGAACTCAAGGAAAGCCACAAAATAGAAGGATATTGTATTGATCTGTTTGATAAAGCACGACAGCTAGTTCCTTATGATATTCCTTTCAGATTTGAGCCTTTTGGGGATGGCCAGTCCAATCCCAGTTATGATAAACTGGTGAAAATGGTTGCAGATGAAGTAAGTAAAACATATTGGTTTCTTTGTGATAAATCCCAATAGCATTCTTGAGCTGTCCATGGTTTGTATACTAAGGATGGCGCATCAGGACATGCAAATAGTTCTTGTCTGAAGATTATTTGTGCTGAACTACAAATGGATGACATCAAAAATTTTACCAAAGCCAGTTGTTTTCACTTTTAATTTTGTTCCGGTTTTCTTTTTATTTTTCCCTTGATATAGGTTTTGGTGTGGATTGTCATATAATATGTGGCAAATATAGGGACATCAGTTAGCAATTTGCATTCCAATGTGCATACCTTATTTATTTTTTCGCAAATGCGGTGTTAGGTGTTTGATGCGGCAGTTGGGGACATTACAATTGTGACAAGTAGGATGAAGATTGTTGATTTTACTCTGCCCTACACTTCCACTGGTCTTGTCATAGTGGCTCCTCTCAGAAATACAAAATCAAGTGCTTGGGTGTTTCTCAGCCCATTTACAGTGCAAATGTGGTGTGCCATTGCAGCTTCTTTTGTGGTGATTGCGGTGGTTATTTGGATTCTTGAGCACCGTGTCAATGATGATTTTCGTGGTCCTCCTAAGAGACAGCTTATAACGATGTTCCTGTAAGCCTTTTTGGTGTTTGATTAGTCACTCTTTCGATGCTTTTATCTATTCTCTTTGCAAATCTACCTCGCTATCCATGAAATTATCTATCTATCACTGGAAATTTCAGTTGATAGTAAAGCTGTTTGATGCTTCAAAGTTGTATCTGCCTTTGTTTACCCTAAGATTTGTAACCTCTTACCATTTGATGATGCAGGTTCAGCTTCTCAACCTTATTCAAGACTAATCGTAAGCACTGCTTTAACTACCTATTGGTTCCTTTCTAATTCCATTGTGTGCATCTATTGTTTGCAGGTGGTATACCTGATTTATCAAGGGCATCTTAACTGTGCTAAGTCTTTGTGTCCATAGCCCATGAAATGAACTTCGAAAAAAAAGACTTGTGACTCTCCTTTGAGTTTTTCAAAATACCGAAGAAATCGATACTCATATTTAGCTCTTGCAATCCCAACTGAAAACTAGGTTGATACATAGTAATTGAAAAAATTGTGGACCATGTCCCTCTTTTCATGATTTTTTATCTTGTCTAATCCTCATTGTTTCCATACGTAAAACCACTCAAAGGAACTTAGCTCATGTAAACGTACTAAGTAATGTTTCACAAACTCTGTATCATAAGATTCATGGTACAGAAAAGTGTATTACTGAATAGATTGTATGCTTGCATTATCCATAATTTGACATATACTTGATTCCTAGGTTTATTATATTATTTATTTGGTTCCTCAATATTGCATATTCTTCTTGCATTCAGTTGGAAGTGTATATTTCCTTCCTATGAAATTAAGCTATTTTCCTGAATAAGGAAATAGAAAAATTGTACTCTCCATCCTGTCACCAATCCAATCAATGTCTTACGGAATATTTATGATCTAGAGTTAACTTTATTAACGCCTTATCTATTATAATACAGAAGAGCATACTGTAAGCACACTTGGACGGATAGTAATGGTGGTGTGGCTTTTCCTATTGTTGGTGATAACATCAAGCTATACAGCGAGTTTGACATCGATACTTACAGTCCAGCAGCTTTCATCACCCATCACGGGCATTGACAGCTTAATTGCAAGTGGTTGGCCTGTTGGATATCAAGTAGGATCATTTACTTATGATTATCTGTTGAACAGTCTTTATATACCACGATCAAGACTTATTTCTCTAGGCTCCCCTGAGGAATATGATCAAGCATTGCGGAAGGGGCCAACCAATGGAGGGGTGGCAGCTATCATAGATGAGCTTCCATACTTGGAGTTATTTTTGTTAAACCACACTGATTATGGGATTGTTGGGGAATCATTCAGAAAGACCGGTTGGGGTTTTGTAAGTTTGCTCTCTTTACAAGCAGTTGCATGTTTAGTACATTGATGCAGCTCATAATAGAAAATTCTCTTTGATAACAAGGTTAAGTATAAAACAGGAAATGAATGTGCACTCTTACTTGAATGCAAATACATTCATATCGACATTTTTTTTTTGCAAAAAGTTCATTCATTTCTATATTGCGTTAGACTGAATCACACAATTGTGTTAATATACCTTCTGACGTATCAGCATTTCCAATTTGAATTAGAATCAATACTTCTATAGGGGAACGATGGGTGAAACTATTTCAAACACAAATCCATGCATTCCTACTTGAGACAAGAGTAGACACACACTTTGTTTTGAGTTGCACTACAACTTTGAACTGATATCAAGAAACTTGGAGAAATTTCAAAAATTCAATTTATTTTTTAGCATAATCGTCAATGACATGTCCTTATTGTTCTTTTCATATTTATGAATCAGGTTTTTCAAAGAGGCTCTCCACTCGCTGTTGACTTGTCCACAGCGATTCTCAAGCTTGCTGAAAATGGGACACTTCAGAAGATTCATGACAAGTGGTTTTGCAAGAAGGGTTGCATAGCACCGAGAAGACAAAACTCTGAGCCTAATCAGCTCCAATTGAGCAGCTTCTGGGGTCTATACTGTTTATGTGGTGTATTTACAGTCACTGCGTTTCTATTGTATCTGTTAAGAACTGTTCGCCAATACATTCGGTACAAACGGAAGCAGATGGAACCTTTGTCTCCCTCAACTTCTGTATCATCAAGTACCTGCTGTTCGGAGGTCGTCTATAGCTTTTTTGAATTCACTGATAAGAAGGAAGAAGCCATCAAATCATTTTTTAGGCAGTGTGACAATCCTTATCCTCAGGTGCGCGCTGATCAATGATGTATAAACCTTGATTAGTTTGAACTGGCTGGCCTACTGTCCCTGCAATTTGTAGATTTTGTGGTAGGCCTTAGTTTATATTGTATGTGCTTGTTTGTTACTAATGGTATAATGAAGCATGTAAATATATCTTTTTGTCGTAGGACTTTGCTTAGGTTACCAGTCGGACCAAATGGGATAGGGTTGTCTATTGTTTATCTTTTTTAGAGGAGTGTTGTGCGCTCAATACACAACTTGATTTAACTTATTATGTATTAACTAATTTATTTTCCATTAAAACTCTTATAATGAAGGACCTAAATATATCTTTGTGTAGTATAGTCCTTTAATGAAATGACCCCCTCCCCTTTGTGGCCCAAAATGGCTAAGTATTCTAACGAATCTAACCTTTGTTATTATATGGAGGTAAATGATGATTTTTGTAGTACTCGATAATTTCCGGATACGTGTTTACATCATAACAGGACAAGTGAAATGAGTCATTAGATGACATGGAAGTGAAGCCCAACAGGGTCTAGCTAGATTGGTATGAATAACAATGTAAGGTGCGACACCCAAGGTGTGACAATCTACATTGCATTGCCTTCACCGAGGGTGGACAAGAGTGGAATTGCAAAAGTTTGAGGGAAATCTCGTCGAGATTCATCTCCCCCACTGTAGGGGTGATATTCTTAACCTACTGAACAATGTTGTTTGATTGACTTAGCCTAAGAGGAGGGTACGTACTTAGGGACAAGGTGGCATGACCCTCCTCAAGGGAAAAGTGAGCAATAGAGGCGAACGAGCATAATTGTCAACCTTGACTTGGGGCAGGGTCTTGAAGGTTTAGTTTGCTTGACCATGCCATCTAGTGTATGACTCACTGCCCATTGTGATGTGGTTGACTGAGATCTGAAGGAACTCCTAAAATAACTGGGATTATTAGTTCGGATTAACCTATGAGATAATGAGATATGTAAGTTGGTGGCTGAAGGGTCGAAACTATGTGAGTTTTCTCTATTAGGCCACACAGGACTCACATCTAAATTGCATTTGAGAAAATATCACATTTGTCTAAGTTAATGTTGGGATATGTGGCTTGCAGTTAGTGACCACTAATATAGTCGGGATCGAGGTTGTTGTGGGTTGGTGCGAGTGTTAGAGGGTCGCAACAGGCAGCCTGACTTGCTCGAACACTGTGTTATAAATATTCGTATTACTTGCCCCATTACGGATGATGAGATTTTCACTTGGCTGGTGAGAGCATTTTACTCCACTTACCCTCTACCAAATTGATTAGTCCCTTCGTTAATAGATTATTCAAGTTCCTTCTATTTCATCTGTTTATCTTATTCATTTCTTTCACTATTATCCTTGACATAGACAGATGTGTCAATTTCTTGAAACGCTCCACCTATGATCTTCAACTCCAATGTCTTTTAATTTCCTGAAGTTTACGTAATAATGGACATTAAACAACGCATTCCTCCCAAATTAGATGATGAAATAGGATCATGGTGCCTCGCAAGATTGAGAGATCTATATACACGTTTTTCTTTTGTTTATTGATTAGGGATGTTAAGTGTAATTTTTCCTAGCAACTATATACACTTTTTTGTTTTTGACAGCAATTACACACATGTTCACAGACACATGCTTTCCATGCTGACAAAGAAAATGTCTGTCTTTTGTTTATTCTTTGTTAGCCCAGAAAAATATTTCCAGATAAAGCCAAAAATTAGTACCCACCAATGTGGAATTCATGAATCTTTAAATCAGATAAATAGGTGTTGAATTTGTTCTTTGCTGCCTTCTTTTTCACAATTGTGGGTCACCTTGCCCTTCGTCGTTTGTTTCCTTTAATCAGAAACAGTAATCCATAATCATTTTAGATTGGTTATTTGGGGGTAAAACTCCTTTATTGTTAGGAGAGATGTTTTTTAAAACGACGTCTTTTCATGTACAAAATGATATCGATTTGTAGATTAAACGATTTCGTTTTGGAGAATAACACGTGTGTCACTGTAGAGGATTCTCATTCGGCTATTGGTGGCAGACATCTATCTCCATACAGATTTTAACACAGTTGTTTGTTGTCTATGGCATCATTTTGTATGTCAAACGACGTGATTTTGAAGAATAACATGTGCATGTTGTATTACAAAGGGTCCCGATAGATTTCTAGTGGTTCTTTTACACCGGTAAGTAGACCTATCAATGGATTAAGATTTTGATCCAAATCTCATTAGTGGATTAATATTTTTTACCAATAATTTGAACTCAAATCCAAATCTGATTTCTTTTATATATATATATATATATATATATATATATATGTATGTATGTCTGATTCGATTATGATCTAATCCAAATTATTTATATATTTTTAGATAAATATTAAAAAAATTAAGTGATTATTTTAAAAAATAGTTGAAATTTAGTTATAATTTGTTAAAACTAGTTAATTAAGTTATTCGAATCAGATCGAATTTTTGAATTGTTGATGGATTCGGACATTAACTTCGAAAATAAAATTTGTCAAATTATTGGATTGAATTTGAATCAAACCTTTAAAATCAAATTCAAATTTAGATCAGTCAGAATCTGATCCAAATTTACTCCGTTGACAGGCCTACTAATAAGGTGGCATGACCAAGGAAGAGTTATAGACTTATAGTAACAACTTAGAATCAAGGCTTGACGGGTTATTTCGAAAACATTGAGCGATTACTTTATAATTGAACATAATTCAGGGGAAATTACTATAATTAAACAAAATAAAGAACACAGAGAAAGATTGCCTGCCCTAGAATCCAAACCCATCGCCAATCCGCTTGAAGCTAATGCAAAATCTAATGACGTCTACTTGCGACGTCACACCCAGCACATTTATGACGCAATCACTCTTGTTCTATTTTTATTTTTTATTTTTTAGATATTAGGGTTGTAATGTTCGGATCTTCTTACGCATATTGATTAATTTCATTGTCAGTCTAGCCAAAGGTAGATCATCTACATTAGAACTATGAAATTTATGAAAAATAAATCTCTCATGATCTAATTTAAAAAAAAATTATTAAATTTCAAACTCAAGACATATTGTCATGTCTCGACTATTTTTATTCTTTGTAATTGGTTCTTTGCAAACAATCGGTTCTATTGAAAATTAATTTTTACGTAATACTTTTTTTAAAATAAAATCATGACATGTATAAATTCTCTTTATTTTATTATTCTATTGTATTTTATCATTGGGCAAATTACACTTTATACCCTAAAAGATTAAATTAATTTTTTTATTTTATACCCTCAAAGATTAAATTTTTTACATTACATCTTCAATATATCAAAAGTATGACAATGCGGTCATTCTATTAGTTTTTTGTTAGTTTTTCTTTCAGCGTTAATAGGTTGACTTTTGACGAAAAAAATAATAGAAGCTCATAGAAAGATCATATTGTAATATTTTTTATATATTGAAGGTACAATGTGAAAATTTTTATCTTTGAGGATGTAAACTAAAAAATTTAAANATCTAATCCAAATTATTTATATATTTTTAGATAAATATTAAAAAAATTAAGTGATTATTTTAAAAAATAGTTGAAATTTAGTTATAATTTGTTAAAACTAGTTAATTAAGTTATTCGAATCAGATCGAATTTTTGAATTGTTGATGGATTCGGACATTAACTTCGAAAATAAAATTTGTCAAATTATTGGATTGAATTTGAATCAAACCTTTAAAATCAAATTCAAATTTAGATCAGTCAGAATCTGATCCAAATTTACTCCGTTGACAGGCCTACTAATAAGGTGGCATGACCAAGGAAGAGTTATAGACTTATAGTAACAACTTAGAATCAAGGCTTGACGGGTTATTTCGAAAACATTGAGCGATTACTTTATAATTGAACATAATTCAGGGGAAATTACTATAATTAAACAAAATAAAGAACACAGAGAAAGATTGCCTGCCCTAGAATCCAAACCCATCGCCAATCCGCTTGAAGCTAATGCAAAATCTAATGACGTCTACTTGCGACGTCACACCCAGCACATTTATGACGCAATCACTCTTGTTCTATTTTTATTTTTTATTTTTTAGATATTAGGGTTGTAATGTTCGGATCTTCTTACGCATATTGATTAATTTCATTGTCAGTCTAGCCAAAGGTAGATCATCTACATTAGAACTATGAAATTTATGAAAAATAAATCTCTCATGATCTAATTTAAAAAAAAATTATTAAATTTCAAACTCAAGACATATTGTCATGTCTCGACTATTTTTATTCTTTGTAATTGGTTCTTTGCAAACAATCGGTTCTATTGAAAATTAATTTTTACGTAATACTTTTTTTAAAATAAAATCATGACATGTATAAATTCTCTTTATTTTATTATTCTATTGTATTTTATCATTGGGCAAATTACACTTTATACCCTAAAAGATTAAATTAATTTTTTTATTTTATACCCTCAAAGATTAAATTTTTTACATTACATCTTCAATATATCAAAAGTATGACAATGCGGTCATTCTATTAGTTTTTTGTTAGTTTTTCTTTCAGCGTTAATAGGTTGACTTTTGACGAAAAAAATAATAGAAGCTCATAGAAAGATCATATTGTAATATTTTTTATATATTGAAGGTACAATGTGAAAATTTTTATCTTTGAGGATGTAAACTAAAAAATTTAAAATTTTTCAGAGTAAAAAGTGCAAAAAATTCTTTATCCCGATCAATTTTCAATAATAATTCGAACCAAAATCTAAATCCACATTGAAAATGAATTTCTTATATGATACCCTCGGTTTTTTTAGAGGTGGCAAATGAGTGGGTTGAGTTGATTATGAGTTGAGTTAAATTGGATTGTGCTAAAATAAATCCAATTCATTTTTCACTCATATAGTAAATGAGTTGGATTTATAATGGGTTGGGTTAAATTGATTAACCCATAAAATAACAAAAAATTTTAATTGATATATTAGTATATCAAAACACACACACACACACATTAGTATTATACCAAAATATAAATACACACACACTAATACACCAAAACATACACAAATTAATACATTAAAAATATATATATTAATACACCAAAAATACACACACAAAGACTAAAATACATTTAATAAAAAAATACACAAATAATGGGTTGAGATGATTGTGGGATGTAGGTCAACCATAGGGGTCGTGGGTCAAGTTGTGGGTTACGAGTCAACCCATGAGTCATGGATCGACCCACGGACCGTAGGTCAACGCGGGTCGGCACGTGGGTCATGGGTTGACTTGTGGGTCGCCATGTGGGTAATGAGTGGTGTATTAGTGTGTGTTTTTTGTGCAGTAGTGTGTGTATATTTTGGTGTATTAGTATAAATGTGTATATTTTTTGGTGTAATAGTGTGTATATTTTTTGATATATTAATATATTTATTTAATTTTATTACTTGTATTATTTAATAAAAAGATAAATATTCAATCAAATGGGTACCTATTTATAATCCATTTTAACCCGCTTAATTAAAATGAATGATATTACCTAACCCATATTAATTAATATAGGTACACAACCCATTAATTTATAAGGGGTTAGACTGATTAATGGATAATAGGTTAAGATTACCATTTCTAAGTTTCTATTCCTAAACTCTCCGAACTCTTGGAAAAAGTTTTTTTTTTTTGGTCGATTGGGAAAAGATTGATAAGCATCCAATTAAAGTATATATTTATATAGTNTGCTTAATTAAAATGAATGATATTACCTAACCCATATTAATTAATATAGGTACACAACCCATTAATTTATAAGGGATTAGACTGATTAATGGATAATAGGTTAAGATTACCATCTCTAGGTTTTCTATTCCTAAACTCTCCGAACTCTTGGAAAGAGTTTTTTTTTTTTGGTCGATTGGGAAAAGATTGATAAGCATCCAATTAAAGTATATATTTATATAGTGATCTATTCATGCTGTTAAATTTAATAATTTCTTTAATTTTTGATATTATTGTCAGGACGTTCGAATCAGTTTACGCACATCTCAATTAATTATTTTTTTGATTTAGTTAAAAACAAATCATCCATATTGATATTAGAGCGATAAATTTNCAATTTCTTTAATTTTTGATATTATTGTCAGGACGTTCGAACCAGTTTACGCACATCTTAATTAATCATTTTTTTGATTTAGTTAAAAACAAATCATCCATATTGATATTAGAGCGATAAATTTTTTATAACTTAACCACAAAAAAATTATAAAAAAATTATAAATTTCGAATTAAAGATGTCGGAATTATCACTCCTGCTACATTGTTATCTAAGTATAAGTAATGAGAACAACTTCCACTGGTCCACAGATTTTTAGTATGGAAACGTGTCAAACGTAGTTAAGATAATAAGATTTTAATATTTAATGTTATAANAAAATTAAAAATTTCGAATTAAAGATATCGGAATTATCACTCCTGCTACATTGTTATCTAAGTATAAGTAATGAGAACAACTTCCACTGGTCCACAGATTTTTAGTATGGAAACGTGTCAAACGTAGTTAAGATAATAAGATTTTAATATTTAATGTTATAATATTTTAGGTTTGAGCTTTACAAAAGATGTTCTAATCGACTCAATATAAAATGTTTATAGGTAATTTTATACATGTTAAAGAGCAATAAAATTTTTGAAAAAGACAAAGTAGGATTATATTCTCATCATGTCAGTCAAATATTACTTTACATGCCTAAATACGATTCATGCAGACAATTGGGTAGACAATCTCATTAAAGTGGAGTGATCACAACNCTGTCAGTCAAATATTACTTTACATGCCTAAAGTGGACCTACAGACCCATACGATTCATGCAGACAATTGGGTAGACAATCTCATTAAAGTGGAGTGATCACAACCATCCAACTCAATTTTTTAAGATAGTATTCTTCAAAAGCTAGGTGTAGTGAAGTGAAGTGAACTAAAATCTCAATAAAGAATGATTCTTTACTGAGATTGCAAGACTATTNTAAGAATCTAGGACTCTGTTGCTAGAAGTACAAAGCTAGGTGTAGTGAAATGAAGTGAACTAAAATCTCAATAAAGAATGATTCTTTACTGAGATTGCAAGACTATTCTGAGCATTGAAGTCTCTTTCTCTCTCTCTCTCTCTCCTCTAACATAAATTTGAAAAATGAAAGAAAAGTGTTCAGTTCTGCATATGCATATATGGCGGAGAGACTCAAAACTGTTGTTCAAAGTTGTATTCATTGATGTGCTTCAGGTAATCTCACTTGTCACTCTCCAATTTATTTCTTTAGTGTAGCTGCTACATTTTTTATTAACTCCTCTATGTGGGTTTCGAATAGAGTTGAATATTGTTTTTTCTCCACTTGTTTTTTCTTCAAACATTAATTTTGAATGGAAATCTGAGTTTTTATCCAGTAGACCAACCATTCACTGTGGTTAAATTTACTTTTCAGTCCAACATACATGGTGAGACCTTAGCTTCGGCCGTTGTAGGTGCGGTGAGGTCTCCTGATGCTCCCCCGGCGGATATGCATTTTAAACACCGAAAAAAAGACAGCATCATATGCATGTGAAAGCAGATATTCATATGCTTTAATTCTCTAGAAATACTGATCTAATAAGCATTTTAAATATTGAGAGTTGGGAAATCACATGTTTCACTGATGTTCAGCGGAAGGCTGTTGGTTTCCCATGTGGGTATCAGTATATCCAAGTTGGTTTAGTTTTGAATTTTTATGTTACAGAGTAAACATTTCTTGTGTTTTTGTTGTCTTCTGGTGATGAGCTTTCATGGTTTAGGATTTATTGTTGTTTTCTGACTGGTGCATAAATATCTAGGACACTCAACTCAACTCATACTTAATCCTAATTATTTGAGGTCGAGGTTGGCTACATAAATCCTGTTCTCGATTGCGATTGTGCTGAATCAATTCATATTTTCAGTTTTGGTTTTTGAGCTTCATTTTCATGCTATATGTCAGTTAACAGGTGTTAAATTTCTTGAACCCATGCTAAAGTGAGGTGAAGAATTGCTGAATCAGTTAGTGAGTTTGCTGGCTTTCTTAGAGATGAAGACCCAAGTAATCTTTAAAGCAACATTAATTTGGCTAACTCTTTGTATGTGGATTTCCATGGAAGTCACTTGTGGAACTGGAAATGCCAGTGTGTCTCCTTCAACCCCAAGGGTTGTAAATGTTGGAGCTTTGTTCACATTGAACTCAGTTATTGGACAATCGGCGAAGCCAGCGCTTGTGGCTGCAATTGATGATGTCAATTCTGATCCAAGCATTCTATCAGGAACAAAATTAAACCTTATTTTGCATGACACCAATTGCAGTGGATTTCTTGGAACTGTGGAAGGTAATTTCTGAGCATATACTTTGTTGAAGTACTTTTGTTATTCCCTTCAATTGTTACTGTGACAAAACCCCCTTAGTTTGGGAGTTTTGGGAAAATTTTATTTACCCTTTACTGTATAGAACACAACAGGTTCTTTAAGGGCAGTTTGTCTTTTTCTTCTCATGAAACTGTGGTATTTCATTTCAACTGCCTTGGCTATGTGGAGAATTGGGCATCATCTTTGCATACTAGGTCTCATTAGCAATTGTTTGTATGCTAAAGTTGGTAATGAACTAAGTTTTTGTTGGCATAATTCTACTTTTTCATACAACTATAGTTCTAAATGGCAACAATGACACTTTGCATGTCATAATCAACCTCCTTGTGTGTGTTCATCAAACAAATATGAACTGAATCGGTTGGGGCAAGTGGTTCCTGACGAAATTTTGACAGGAGATCCTTTCTTATGTAGCTTTACAGCTGATGGAGAAAGATGTGGTTGCTGCAATCGGTCCACAGTCCTCTGGAATAGCACACGTTATCTCCCATGTAGTGAATGAACTTCACGTACCACTCCTGTCATTTGGGGCAACAGACCCATCCCTTTCGGCTCTGCAGTACCCCTATTTCCTCCGTACTACACAGAGTGACTACTTCCAGATGTATGCAGTAGCTGATCTGGTCCAATTTTATGGATGGAAGGAGGTAGTTGCCATCTTTGTCGATGATGATTATGGTAGAAATGGTATTTCTGTTTTGGGCGATGCACTTGCTAAGAAGCGTGCCAAAATCTCTTACAAGGCTGCTTTTACTCCCGGAGCATCAAGAAATGACATCAATGACTTGTTGCTTGGAGTAAACCTGATGGAATCTCGCGTTTATGTTGTACATGTAAATCCTGATTCTGGTCTTTCAATTTTCGCAGAAGCCAAAAAGCTGGGGATGTTGTCCAGTGGCTATGTTTGGATTGCTACAGATTGGTTTCCTTCTCTTTTAGATTCCTTGGAATCAATTGATGCAGAAACAAGGGATCTCTTACAAGGGGTTCTTGCTCTTCGACATCATACTGCAGATTCTGATCTCAAAAAACGTTTTACCACTAGATGGGAAACCTTAAAAGATAAGAAATCCTCGAGTTTCAATTCTTATGCATTCTATGCTTATGATTCCGTATGGTTACTGGCCCATGCTCTCAATGTTTTCTTCAGAGAAGGTGGAAATGTCTCTTTCTCCTATGACCCCAAGTTGAAAGACACTAATGGAAGCGCACTGCAGCTAACAGCACTCCGGAATTTTGATCAAGGCCAGAAATTACTCCAGATACTAATTACAATGAACTTCACAGGCCTTTCTGGTCAGATTCAATTTGATTTGGAGAAGAATTTAATCCATCCAGCCTTTGATGTTCTAAACTTCGGTGGGAATGGATTACGCAGTATAGGTTATTGGTCAAATTACTCTCTTCTATCTGTTGTTGCTCCGGAAATTCTATTCGCGAAACCCCCAAACACTTCTACCAGCAATCAGCATCTTTACAGTGTAATATGGCCTGGTGAAACTACAGCAAAGCCTAGAGGATGGGTGTTTCCCAACAATGGGAAGCCTTTGCGAATTGCAGTGCCTTACCGGATTAGTTATCAAGAATTTGTATCTAAAGACAAGGGTCCCAAGGGGGTGAGAGGATACTGCATTGATGTCTTTGAAGCTGCAATAAGCTTGTTGCCTTACCCCGTGCCTCGTACATACATACCATATGGAGATGGTCTGAGAAACCCTAGCTATAATAATATTGTGAACGATGTTTCACAAAATGTGAGTATGTGCTCTTATATAAATAATTTAGATTTGTTGTCTATCTAGCTCTGGAAAAAGAAATACATGGTTTGCGTTGAATTTTAGTAATAAATTCTATCAGTGTTGGATGTGTATGTAGATTATATATAATGGTAGTATGCTTTTCTGCTTTTTTGTTAAGGTTGCCTCGGGATTTCTATCTTCTTGCCAGTATGTTAGTTAGTTATTCTAATTAGCTTTGTTCTTCAGAAATATGATGCAGCTGTTGGAGATATTATTATTGTTACAAATAGGACAAGGATTGTGGACTTCACACAACCTTTTATGCAATCTGGACTTGTCATAGTTACTCCTGTCAAAGAGATAAAATCGAGTCCTTGGTCTTTCCTCAAGCCATTCTCTGTGCAGATGTGGTTTGTCACTTGGGCATTCTTTTTTTTCGTGGGCACTGTTGTCTGGATTCTGGAGCATCGGATAAATCATGAGTTCCGTGGTACTCCAAGGCAGCAACTAGTTACAGTCTTCTGGCAAGTATTCTTCTGACTTCATCCGACAGTTCCTCTGTTTTATAGCCGTTGCATTTCTCACAGGCATTGCATAGGCCTTGGCTCTTGCTTCTAAGTACCCCTATACTCTACTTTCAGATGGTAAACTGCTCACACTGAGATATCCTATAATTTTGCAGGTTTAGTTGCTCAACGATGTTTTTTTCACACAGTACGTGGATCTTCCCTAATCTTGAAACTTTCTTCTTTGATTTTGTTGCAAATTTTCTTCTGATGTAGAAGATCCATGCTTGACAACTCCTAAAACTCTTTCTTGATCGGACTCAATGCAGGAGAAAACACCGTGAGCACTCTGGGACGATTTGTGCTGATCTTATGGCTCTTTGTTGTTCTAATTATCAATTCAAGCTATACAGCTAGTTTGACATCAATCCTCACAGTGCAGCAGTTGAGTTCGCATATTCAAGGGATTGACAGCTTAATCTCAAGCCCCGATCCAATTGGAGTTCTGGATGGATCATATGCTTATAACTATCTGATTGAAGAGCTCAACATTGCAGAGTCAAGGCTTCGGATATTGAAAGACCAGGACGAATGTTTTAACGCCCTTAAGCAAGGTCCAAAAGGTGATGGAGTGGCTGCCATTGTTGATGAGCTTCCTTATATTGAGCTCTTCTTGTCTAATACCAATTGTGTATTCAAGATTGTGGGACAGGAGTTCACCAAGAGCGGCTGGGGATTTGTAAGTAATTTCTCACAATAATCCTACTGCAAACATGCAACTATAACTGAAAATAACTCTGCTTATAGTTGGTTGTGGGATTCTCTGTGTGCGCTGCACTGAGAGAGAGAGAGAGAGATGGAACATATGTAATTACAATATATCCTTATTGTGTTGTGCAAACTATTGATACATTTACAGCAAGGTTCAATATGATTCTGATGCTAAGTGATTTGTTTTCAGGCTTTTCAGAGGGACTCTCCTCTGGCAGTCGACTTGTCAACTGCTCTCCTCCAACTCTCAGAGAATAGTGATCTCCAAAAAATCCATGATAAATGGCTCTCTCACAGGGTGTGCTCTGCGCAGGTCAACGAAGTGGATGACAACCAACTCTCTCTCAAGAGCTTCTGGGGTCTATTCCTTATCTGCGGAACTGTTTGCTTCTTTTCCCTTACCATTTTCTTCTGTAGGGTGGCCTGGCAGTACCAAAGATACAGCCTGGAGAGCGAGGAACCGGAGATTGAGGATCCTGAACTGGCAAGGCCGAGTGGACCTAACACCCGCACGAGTAGCTTCAAGAAATTGATTGAGTTTGTTGACAAGAAAGAAACTGAGGTGAAGGAGATGTTTAAGCGCAAGAGTAGCGATACGAAAACACAAGCTAGTCATAGCTCAGAGGTGCAGCCTGATTCACCAACCTGAGGAAAACTTGCTCTTGAGCTAGCTTTTGTTTTCTTTTTTTCTTTTTTCCCAATGCTACTTCCATTGAAATTTATATGACCCACCAACCTCATGTGCTAGGAGATCATTAGTGTCTGTGTTCTAAAACAGAATGTTTGTATTATGAGGATGTTAGAAGTTATTCTACAATCTCTGTTGAAGTACTAAATGTTCACAGAAATGGGGAAGGATATAGAGTGCTGATGAGCTTTCTCTTTCACGCACAAATCGGGAAATGGTTCTTTCAAACATTTCCATATGCCCTATGCTAAATATTTTGTCTTTTGGAAGAAAATGATTTGTAACGTGTAATTTTATGTTCTATAGACTGATAGACTGATTACGGTGTTTCTATCTTTTGTGATACTGGAGAGTCGAGCCCCTCCTGCAATAAGCTAGAGGGCAAGGATTATGGGCACATGTTGATGACAATGATAGACCTTTTAGTTAACAAAGGAAATAAGATCATTGAGGTCAATACTTTGGTTAAAGGAATATGTTTGGAATCCTTGATAAACAACACTTGCTATCCCCGAGTCTTACAATACTTTAAGGACGAAAATGCTATACAACCTAAAAAGAACTTAAAAATTGTAACTCAAATTTATATTATTTATTGAATGAGTGTTTGATGAACGAGTCTCACTGAAAAAAATTGATGGAACTCACTCGTCTAAGAAATAATGTACATTTGGGTTGTAATTTTTTAGATTCTATTTAGATTGTGTAGCATTACTCTTTAAGGATATAACACCTAAAATCACATAAAGTTTTCGAGAATGGATGACCTAAATGTTCCAAAGCTTGGAAATTTCAATTTCCATACTAATAACAAGCTTTGATCTTATTTTATTTTTTTGAGTTTGTAATGCAAACAATTCCCGGCTTTATATTTTTTAAAAATAAATTAGGATTTCATAGGGGTTTCAATTCTGACCTGTTGATACGAACTCGACACATACTATTACAAAATTGACACGATTATTAAATATGCATGATAAATAGTTTAGACTAATATTTAATACTCAGAACACATTAAATAAATAAAAAAATTGTGGGCTTGATACAAATAACAATAATACGATATAAAAATACACAACACCCAAGTCACACGATACGACAGGATTGATAACCTCTTGAGGTTTGAAATTTTTAAAAGAAGTTTGAATTTTTTGACATTTTATATGAACATATCCATCACTATCGCAATTAGGTTTGATTTTTTCACACTATGGTGGAACTCAACCACTCCACTCTTGTGTCGCCAGGTAATTTTCAAAACCTTAGAATTTTTCAATTTTCATGTTATACCTTACTTCACCCTCTTAAAATTCTAAACCTCTAAGCTTTTTTTTTTACTCGAACATCACATATTATTAGTTTAAGAGAATTACATCTAGATCTCTTAAGCTATGTCATTTAATCACTTAAATCCCTTAATATTTAAAATATTATACACAAACCTTTTAAGGTTTGTACGTACATAACATTTAGACTTTTATCCATTCAAACTCCTACCATATAATATCTGTTAGTATATCTTTTAGTAATTACACTCAGATTCTCTAAAGTTTGTAAGTATATACTTAGACTCCTCAATTTTAAAATATTATATTTAGATAAAAAATACTCAAATCAAAGATAGAATATCAAATATTTTAAATTTTAAAATAAAAATTCATGTTATATTGTATCATTTATTGAAATAAAATCAAAAATAAAATAAAAAATCGTAATTAATATATACAATTATATTATCTATTGGAATAAAACAAAAAAAATCAAATAAAGGGTTTAAGTCATAATAAAATTCATGTTCTGTTATGTCATCTATTGAAATAAAAATCTAATTTTTCTTAAAAAATCATAATTAGTATATAATTATACTATATATTGAAATAAAACTAAAAAATCAAATAATGAATCAAACTGTAATTGACACAATATATTATAGCTTTAATTGGGATAATTTGTTAGTTTAATTTGGTCGTTTAAACGACCAAATTAAATTTCAATAGATAGTATAATTATATACTAATTATGATTTTTTAAGAAAAAAATATATTTTTAATTTTAATTTTATTTCAAAAAATATTACAATAGAAGATGAATTTTGTTTGTAAAATTTAAAATATTTGATATTTTATGTTTGATTATAATATTTTTTGTTTAAGTATAACATTTAAACTTGAATATAAATTTCAAGGGATCTAGGTATAATTTACTAATAGATATATTAACAGACATTTGATAGTAAGGGTCTAAGTATTACGCACGCATAAACTTCAGAGTTCTGTGTGTAATATTTTCAATATTAAGGGGTTTGAATGATTAAGTGACAAACTTAAGAAGTCTAATTATAATTTTCATAAAAAAAAAAATATGAACTAAAATAGAAAGGATGTAATAGGGGCGGAACTAGGATTCTATCCTAGTGGGGGCAAAATCATAAATAAAAAATATAATCAGCTCATATTAAAATAAATTTCTACATCTCCATTAATAATGACTAAATTAGGTGTATATTTCACACACAAAATCCCTTAGTTCACCTATGAGAAGTATGTTGAAATCAAAGGTTTAATTACAGAATGAAAATTAAAAATAAAAATTAATTGGACATTTCAACTTAGTCATATATTAAAGAGAAACACAACAATGTTATTACGAATTCTAATAATCGTCATTAATTGATCAATTCTAAAAGATATTTCAAAATAATTTCTTTTAATCTTGTTGAGAAATTGATGTTTTTAAAAAGGCATTAATATTTTTAGTTTAACACATTTTATCATTTGCTATATATCTATTGATTGTGTTACTAGGTTTTGAGCTCCTAATTTAAAAAAAAATGAATTAAGGACAACTACATAATTATTTTTAAAAAAGTACAAGGAAGTGTATTAAATTTTTCAGAAAATTAAGGGGGGCAATAAGTTAAATAGATCATAATTTGTTGTCACTGTGTATATTTGTTAATTTCTAAAAAATTAGTGGGAGCAACTGCCCTCGTACATCTACGCATAGCTCCGCCCCCGGATGTAATACTACCATAATCACATTATGAGCACTATTATAGTGACATCGTTGATTCCACTTTTATTCATATTTCAGACCCTGTTTCACTATCAAACAATAGAGAAACACAGATCCACCACACCACACTAAGACAAATAGCATTGTCATCATCTTTGCATTATTTCCTCCTTTCAAGATGGTATCAATTAAAATAATTGGCTCATGGGTAGTAGGTTCCATCGACCTCTTTTACAACTCTAGAAGTGGTTGAGAGGTGAATATATTTAATTTTAGAAAGTACATGGGTACATGTGTCTTTTCTGAACTAAAACCGTGCCCTTTAGGCCTTTTCACTATCAAACACAAAGAGGGAAATATGTGTAATTTTAGAAAGTACATGGGTTCATTTGTATTTATAAAATATACTCCTATATTCATGTTTCAAATTCCTTTTCACCAAGGCTGTTAATGGAGCTCAACCAGCTTTAACCTTAGTTTGTCGAGCTCGTTCTTTTAAATGAGTTTAAAAAATAGTTTGATTTGTTTAAAAAATAAGTCAAGTCCAAGTAATTCATTTATTTTACATATTAACGAATCGAATGTTGTAAATTCGAGTCAAACATTGCGAACTCAAGTTAAGTTTTTAAAAAATTATTCAAACTTGATTTATTTAGAATATAAGTTGAGCTTGAGCTCGAGTTGGGTTTAGCTGTTCTAGCTATTTTGCGAGGTCTGTTACCACATTCGGTGACTACTCCGGCAATCGGCGGCGAAAGACCTGCACTGTTTACGAAAAAGAGGGCTTGAAAATTTTCAACTAAGCTTTCAATGGCTATGAGTTTGGGTTTCTTTTGTTGTGATTTCTAGGGAGTTTCAAGTATGAAAATGTAACATCGTTTGTGGTAAATTTGAACTCCAAGGACATGTTTATTTATCGGGTTCGGATGGGTTTTCGATATGAAAATGTAAAAGAGTATCTCCAATAGTTTCTTTATTTTTTTTTTATTGAGAGCATTTGTGATAAAAGGTTTAAAAGCAGAATGAATTTTTTTCAACAATTTCAATAGGATTTTCTATTCTAATGCAAGAGTAGTCGTTATAGTCAAAGTATTTAATGACTTATTTTCATTAATTAATGATAAAATAGAGAGCGGAATTGTCTCTCTAAATATAGAGTCAAATTGTTCTCTCTAGTTGCAGGGAAAAAAAATCATGCTCTCTAATTTAGCTAGTCTAAATAAAAGTCTTTAGGCTTTTAGAGCATTTTCATTAGGTCTGTTACTGCATCATGTTTGAATCAGTTTTTTTATTGATTGGAGTTCGATTTTAAAGTCTGATTCTATAATACAATGGATTTTATTTTTGTGGTCAATATTTAAATATGTTTATCATCCAAAATATGATCGCATTCAAATAACTTAATTAATTAAATTTTAATAAATTATACCTAAATTTCAACTAATTTTTTTAAAATATTTATGCTATTAATACAAAATTTACGATGCAATAACATGACTAGACTAATGAACATTAGGTCACGAGAAAAAAAAATGTAATTAACCTAAACGTGTGGTACATAAATATAAATTATTAAAACTATTATATATTGTATATTATATTTTTTTTATCTATAACTAACATATAATTATATAATTAAGTTTGTTAGAATTAAAATGTGTGAAAATCAGTAATTAGTTGAATGTAATTGAAGATAAAATGATAAGTGTTTGTAGGTGGGCTATTCGTGCTTTAGAACTCAAAGATACCCTTTGCACTATCAGACAAGAAGGTGGGGAAATCTGTGTGATTTTGAAAAGTACTTGGGTTAATGTGTATTTATAAACTACACTTGTATATTCATGTTTCAGATCCTTTTTCACTACTAAACAAGATACACAGAGCCATCATCACATCAATAACACCAGAATCCAGGGGCAGAAAAACCAAAACGAGAGAGAGAGAGAGAGAGAGAGATGGGTGCTGTGATGAAGCTGATAGACACACTACTCTTCCTCTACTTCTTGGTTATAGCTGTGATAGCCCCACTCATAGACGTCCAGAATTGCCTCCCTCGAGATCTCTACCCGGACTTCCTCGTCGACCTCCACGGTTGGTACAGCCGCGAGTTTGGCGATTACTTGTTCTCTGAGAAACCCAACTTCTTCGTCGGCCTTATCTGGCTCGAGTTGTTCTTCGTGTGGCCTCTTTCCTTCGCAAATCTCTACGGCATTGTGACCGGAAAGGCTTGGTTTAGGACCACCAGCTTGATCTTTGGCGTTTGCATTTCTACTTCCATGGTGATTTCTATATATCTTTTTCTTTTTCTTCTCTATAGTATAGGGTGTGAACTGTTTACAATGTTTGACATATTTATTAAAAAAATAATGTTATTGAGACATAATTTGAGTACATAATGTTATGTCATTAATGATATGATAATAAATTTATTAATATTACAATGAGACCCATCATTAAATACATTTCACTATCATTTCATTGGTGACAACTCATTATATTATCAAATTATGTCTTTCAATTATGTCCCAATAACATTAGTGTTATTAAAAATATATATCAAATTACTTGTAGTTATTGGATTTGTGAGTTTTATTAGTGATCTAATGACTATAGTTGATTTATTGCAAGTTTAATGCACATAAAATTATCTATTTTTTACAGTGATAGAGAGCTCAGAGTAATAATTACTTGTGAAACATTCAATAATTGAATATTCAAAATTTATATTTTAAAATATTTTGATATATTTTTACAACAAATTTTGTTACATTGTTAATTAATGTTTCGAAATAAATTTCTAAAAATTATCGTTTTTCCTCCCATTAAATGTGGCCCTTTCTTTAGGAGGTCTATCTACAATTTTTTTTTTCTTAAAAAAGAAAATGTTCTGATGAGATTTGAACTAAGAACATCTAAACTCGGATATCAGAATAAATATTATTTATTTTAAAAGTTTAAATTGTTTCGAAATATTTTTATTTTTAAGTTCATTGAAAGTATGCAAAGAAATTTGAATCCTATGTATGAAGTAGGGCTAATAATTGAGTCGAGCTTTTCGGGTTCAACTCAGTTTTGTCTTGGATAAAATTTGATTTAGGCTCAGCTTGTGTTCTAAACGAGTCAAAATTGAACAATTTTTAAGCTCGTTTTAAAAAAAGCCTAAAAGGCTTGGCTCATTTATGTATAAAATAATCGAGTTATTCATGTTCGGTTTATTTTGGGCTTAGTTTGGATTCTGCTCATTTTCTAAACATGTTAAATTTAAATAATTTTTTAGATTCGTTTAAAAAAAAAACCTCGATAATATTAGCTCGATTATCAACCCGATAATACAAAATTAATTTACTTTTTGCTTTTTTTTTTATAATTTGATTATACTTGTTTCAGGTTGCCATCTTAGCTGAACTGATAGGGTCCGGTAGAGCACCAGATAAACTGTTGATTTCGTACTACCCATTTCTGGGTTTAGCTATTTTCCGTGGTCTGCTACCAGATTCGGTGACTACTCCGGCAATCGGCGGCGAAAAACCTGCACTGGTTGCGAAAAAGAGGGCTCGAAAGTTTTCAATTAAGCATTTTTCAATGGCTATGAGTTTATGTTCCTGTTGTTGACGAAAATGTAATATCGTCTTGTAATAAACTTAAACTCCTAATATGTAAGGTTGTTATTTTCACTCAATTTCATGCAAATATTAGTCATGTGTATCGACGAGGGTGAACCATTGAATGAATTTCAGGGAATGAGAGTTATATGTCTCTGGTATAAAGTTGTGTTTTAGGTTTCATTTATTCTGCAAAACTGTTTCATATCAATAGTAAGAAACATAAGACTAGGTACCAATCAATGTTGTACCCAAAAAAAAAAAAAAAATTTGGACAAATTGCATAAACCTTCAAACAATGTAAGTACACAGAAATGACAGCAAAATTTTAAAGAGTAATATTATTTGTATTTAAAAATCTGATTTAATTTGTTGACATAATGATGTGGCTTCAATAAAAACATTAGATCAACGTCAACTTTCAAGTTTCATAGTAAATTAGATCAGCAAATTAGGTCCCAATAGTATTGCTCAATTTTAAATCTAGTAACCAAATATCCGTGCGAAAAACTTGTGTATGGGTGGCAACGTGTGTTTGGGGTTGGGTGTGCTTGTGTGTGTTGCTGTGGTTCCCAGATTGAATGTGTGGGAAAAACAAAGAGATTGAATGTGTGTGAAAAACAAAGAGAGAAGACAGGGACATAGGAGAAAATGGTGTGTGTGACCGTATGTTATCGGAGCTCAAATCCACCGGAAAAAGTAATGCCTTCCACGTGAGAGAGAAAGAGTAATGCCCGTCCATGTGAAATAGGAAGAGTAATGTCGTCCACAGAGACAGATTTAAATTTAAATTTATGTGACTATAATGAGAGTGAATTTCAGTAGCTACTGTTTAACCATCCGATAAATTTAAACTGTCAAAAATAAAAGTAATTTTTTTTTTTTAGAATTCAACCTTCTTTATATTTTATTATATTACTAGTTATTGTCTATACCTGAAGACACATAATAATAAAAAATAATAAATAATAAACATATTTATATTTATATTTATATCTAAAATCAAATCACAAACACAAATAAAAGATAAATAAATTTAAGTATTAGTTATAGTGAGGGTGAGAGGTGGTAGACTTCAGTGGTAGTGGTTAGAGATGACGATGGTTGTAATAGGTGGTAACGACCGTGGTGGCGGCGGTTATGATGATTGTAGTGGCGACGACGATGATGATGGTGGTCTTGACAGCAGTGGTTGTAGTGGTAGTGGTAGTGGTGGTGGTGGCAGTGACGGGGTGGGGATGGTGGTGGCAGCAGGGGTGGTGGCGACGACGATGGCGGTGGGAGAGGCAACGATGGTGGTGGTGGTGGAAGAGGTAGTAGCGGGGTGGTTTCAAACACTATTTTTAAAAAAAAATATTTATGAGAAATAATTTTTAAATGTACTTTTAAAAGCCACTCCAAACTAGGAGTGTCAAATGTGTCGGGTTAAACGGATCACGGGTGAAAAATATATAAACTCGTACACGACATGTTTAATAAATGAGTAAAAAGTCTCCACACAAATACGACCCGTTTAATAAACGGTTAACACGACACAACTCGTTTAACCCATTGAATTTAAAAAAAAATTATATTAACAAATTTTAATTCTCTAATTTTTTTTTATTGTCAATTACACTTACCTCAAAAAAGAGAAATTTTTTGTCAAATCTCATAAAAATAAGATTTGAAAGCTTAAAAAAAAAAGAGGTCATTGTTTTTTATAGACAACTTAATTCCCCCCATCTCTTCTCATTTTTCAACGTGGGAGAAAAACAAAAGGTATTAGTTTGCCTTTGTCTTTGAAGTGCTTCTCATCTCCTATCTTTTATCTTTGAACTACTCATTTACTTCTTTTTTTTAATTGATTTTTTTATTTCTTTTTTTCTTGCTAACTTTTTAAAATAATTATTAATTTTATTTAAACGGATAAACGTGTGATAAACAGTTTGACATGTCTCACCCGAACACGACCTATTTATTAAACGTATTTGACGTGTCAATCCGTTTATCACTCAAACCCGTTAAAATCTCACCTAAACTCACTTAATTCGTATCGATTAATCGTGTCATATTGAATTTTGACAGCCCTACTCCAAACATACTATTATGAGCCTATTTTTCTTATTAAATTTAGGATATTAATATTAGCTGTTAGATTAATTTTAAAGTAAAATTAAAAATAATCTCAATTGCAAATAATAAAAATTATTTTATTTATTTTTTAAAATTTGAATCGTAAGTTATTTTATTATATTGATTTTTGGGGGCAAAGAAAATTGACAAAACCGCGTCGTTTGGCAGAAGTGCATACCAGCAAAATCTTCTGTTCTTCCGGAAAAGCAGAGGAGCCCACCCCTGGCAAGATTACCCTTTTCACAGTCAAACAACCCGAAACACAGATCCATCATCACCTCAAGAACAACAAAAAATACCACAACTGAGAGACACAGAGAAATGGGTGCTGTGATCAAGCTCGTAGACGCAATACTCTTCTTCTTCTTCTTGCTCATAGCTGTGGTAGCTCCGCTCTTTGACGCCCAGAGTTGCCTCCCTCGAGACCTCTACCCGGATTATCTCGTCGACCTCAACACCTGGTATAGCCGCGAGTACGGCGATTACTTGATCTCTGAGAAGCCCAACTTCTTCGTCGGCCTTGTCTGGCTCGAGCTTCTCTTCTTGTGGCCTCTTTCCATCGCCAATCTCTACGGCATTGTCGCCGGAAAGTCTTGGCTTAGAACCACCAGCTTGATCTATGGCGTTTCCATTTCCACTTCCATGGTGATTTCTATAAATCTCTTCCTTTAATTTCTTCTCTTTATTAATTATTTCTCTTGAATCTTCTTTTTCCTTTTTCTTAGCACGATAGCCTGTCTGAGTAAGCTGAAAATTGGTGTTAATTTGAANTATTAATTATTTCTCTTGAATCTTCTTTTTCCTTTTTCTTAGCACGATAGCCTGTCTGAGTAAGCTGAAAATTGGTGTTAATTTGAATCTGGGATTCTGTGGGTTTATTGAGATCCGTGAATTAGGGCTTCCAATTGCCTGAATATATGTAGCAATTTCATTTTGAGTTCGTATTGTTATGGAAATTGGGTTAATTTCAAGAACGTCATTAGTACTTGTTAATAAAATTTATTTTCTTTTTCTCTGAAAAGTGATATTGCCACCATTCTTTTTGGGACTATACAAAAATTCATCTTGGGTGTGGTCCTGGGTGGGAATATTTTTTGGGAATGAATAGATTGTTAGGATCCTGGGTGGGACCTAGCTTGGATTATGGGATCCGGGTGAGGTCCACTCGAGGTGTGAGACTCGAGTTTAAGACCTTTGATTTAACGCGTTCCATCAGTCAAGGTTTATTGTTAGACTGATCTCTACAAAAATTCATCTTGCCATTGTAAATTTTGATGCTAAACAGGTGATGTATAGCGCTGGTATTTTTGTGCTTTTTCTGTTTTGGCAGGTGAAAGCTATGATAGGGAGCAACATAGCACTATGACATTAATGCACTATTGTATCGTTTATATATTTATAAATTTTCTTACAGGTTCAGTCCTTTGATCTCCATTTATTTTCTGTGAGAGTGTATTCACAATTGTTTATATATGATCTAAAGAAAAATTGGGATGTGGAAAGGTGAAAAAGCTTTAAGCTTGATCAAAAAAAGCTTTAGGGTACTTGCACCCAAAATAGAGAGACACACCTAGGGACAGAGCCACAGTGGCCCATGGCCCCTCTCAAGTCTCAAGTCTCAAGTCTCACGTCTCAAGTCTTTAGAAATTTCATGTGCCCCCTTAGGTTTTCAGAAAACTCAATGGCTCCCCATTAGGTTTATAATAGTTCTCATGTATATTTTGTACTTCGTTTGACCATTTTTTAGTTTCTCTTTCCTTCGACCATATTTTACTAATATGTTATGTCAGCCTTGACCAACAAATTTGACTTAATCTCGAGGTTTTGATCTAAAGATTGGTTTAGGATCATGGGATTCTTTTCTATCAAAATAGGAAGGGTTGTAGCACAAAATTTACTTCTAAGTAATTGCTCTATAGATCCTATATTTAATCTATATGAAGAAGAAATCATGTGACGAAGGAGATTCTTATTTGTATAAATGGCACTCCGAACTTGGAACATGCATGAAGAAATTAAGTAATTAACAATACCTCCTTATCTTTTGAGTTGTTCTGCCGGTATTTCTATGGCAAAGGATGGTCTTATTGTGAAACATAATGATGTAGTGAAACATAATTGTATAATATGTATAATGTTTATCATGTTTGAATTTGTCAAATTTCTGGAGAGCTCTGCTGTAATTACCACGAGTTTAAGCTCGTGATAGACCAGCTCTTGTTTATATTTGTTTGTCAAGTATATAGATGCAAGATTGTTGTACAAGTATATATATCTGATTGTTANTTTAAGCTCGTGATAGACCAGCTCTTGTTTATATTTGTTTGTCAAGTATATAGATGCAAGATTGTTGTACAAGTATATATATCTGATTGTTAAAACTGCATATGCACTGAATGCTTCAACCCCTTCTAATTTCGCAATGGATTGTGTGCCTGTCATGCCTGCAAATGGCACACAGTTGGTACATTTGTTGATGACTTGGTAAATTCAAACAACTTAATGTGATGTGACAAAGATATGCTGATATTCGCAAAATTGTGAGAGTACTTTGATGGTTTTTACCTATGCAAACNTAAAACTGCATATGCACTGAATGCTTCAACCCCTTCTAATTTCGCAATGGATTGTGCGCCTGTCATGCCTGCAAATGGCACACAGTTGGTACATTTGTTGATGACTTGGTAAATTCAAACAACTTAATGTGATGTGAGAAAGATATGCTGATATTCGCAAAATTGTGAGAGTACTTTGATGGTTTTTACCTATGCAACCAGCCATGAGTCTTACTAAGGGTTCAGCTTGTTCAAAATACACAACGTAGTGTTTCTCATCAGAAATATGACCAAGCACCAATGGATGTACTGAACTTTTCCACCAATGGGGATAGCCAAACTCTTCCATGCTTCACTTTTCTTCTTGATATTTTGAATTCCGCTCCAAGTGTTTATGCTTTTGTTAGTGGCTAGAGATTAAAAAAAAAACTAGAATGAAAGGGATAAACAGATAATTGCTGCAAAAATTGGAATATAAATTTGATTTACTCTGCCTTTTTCTAATTATTTACATTCATTTCAGGTTGCCATCCTATCAGAATTGAAGGGATCCGGTAAAGCACCAGATAAACTGTTGATGGTGTACTACCCTTTCCTGGGTTTATCTGTTTTAGCTATTTTGCGTGGTCTGCTACCACGTTCTGGGAATACTCCTGCAATTGGCACTAGACCTGCACTGATTAGGAAAAAGAAGGCTTGAAAGCTTTCAACTCAGCATTAAGCGGCTCAGTGTTTGTGTTTGTTCTTTGTCATCGATTTCTAAAGTTTTTTTTACCCCAATTTTGCTGTTGGATGCTTAAGATGAGATTGTTTGTGAGGAATTGTCAATTTTGATAAAATTCTTTCCAATTGCACTGTTGGTGAGAATAATAATTCTGTCCAATCAAATGTAAGTGGCACCTATTTGTTTGCACGAAAATATTGTCACATTTTATTCCGTAACTTGGTGGTTAATATTGCATTGTTTACTCTATGATGATTGCGGGAAAGGGAGATAAATCGATAAAAATGAAATCATGTTTGTGTGGTAAAATTTCAATATAAATGTAAGAGGCCAGAGTTAAGAATGCTATTATTTTAGGTACTAATGTTTTCCATTGTTGAATTCTGAGTTGTTCTGACTATCTTCTCGACAGTTATGGAGATGAATATTGCTGCAATTAGTTTGATTGCAGGGGCACGCCAGCCTGCTGAAAAATTACAGGTTTTAGCATCTTTATGTGTTNGCAATTAGTTTGATTGCAGGGGCACGCCAGCCTGCTGAAAAATTACAGGTTTTAGCGCCTTTATGTGTTTTTTTTTGGCAAGCTGGTAGCATGACAAAAGAAAAGAAACATTCGTCTTGATAATTTTAATTCTTCTGCAAATGCTCCACACATGAACACTGAAAATGGTGGATTTCAACAGAGTCTTACATCGATCCTACTGAGAAAATTTTAGTTGGATTGGGTGAAACTTTTAGTATGATACTGAAAACTCTTGGGTGTTATGTTGCTCAGGTTGAGACATGAATGCAGGTTAACATCCATGTACCGAGCTTGAATGAGTAGTTCAGAACTTTGCTCGGATAAATAGAAGCTATATCCAAGAAAATAAAGTTTTTTCGCGGGCGGGCAAATATCCCAAGAGTAAGGAATAATTGCCCCCTTGGGCCTTGCTATCCTACGTGGTCTTTGCAAAATGCTATTCGGACAGAGTTGGCTAAACCAAATCCAGGGCAATCCATGAGTTTCAAAGATATAAAAAAACCCGAGCCTGGGGTGTTTACCAAAAGGAGTCAAACATTACCAAACTATTAGATTAATCTAGATTATTACGAATCGAGTTATTCGAGCTCGTTTCGGATTTAGCCTGTATAGAGTTTATTTGGATTCGACTTATTTTTGAAAGAGTNGAATCGAGTTATTCGAGCTCGTTTCGGATTTAGCCTGTATAGAGTTTATTTGGATTCGACTTATTTTTTAAACGAACTCAACTCGAAAGAGTCGGCTCTATTATCGGCCCTAATTAAAGATAGTCCATTCCATGAACCTTAAGCTTGGTTAGCCCAATCCAGGACATTCAGGTCTCGGTCCACTATGTGTGGTGTCATATTGGTTATGGGTCATGTAAAAGTTTGTCAAATTTAATTAATTCATATCTGGCCAGTTCATAAATATGTGCCGTTGTAGTCATGTGGTGTATAGCAAGTTTGGGCCGACTCATTTAATAACAAGTACGATGGTTCTGTTTATTGTTGACCAAAATCTCCTAAGACTAAATTCATATACATTAACTTTAAGCGGGTAATTATAAGGAGTAGTTCAAATAATAATTGGAACAAATTATAAATGCAAGATGTTCTAAGTTCGAATTTTAATAATTTTTTGTCTTTCATGAATATTCTAGATCACGAGGTGTGTATAAATTGACTCGATCACCCGTAACCTTTGAAAAAAAATAGGTTTAAGACGGTACAACCATGAGAATGACCATGACCGTTACCTCCAGCAGTAATTTCTTGGTAAAAAGGGGACACCATGACCTCCCATGTCCATGTTTTTGCTCCACCAGTCAGAACTACATAATGGTCAAACAGACTAGACCCGCTTCCGGCTGAATCTTATGGTGCTTATTTTTTTGACCCATAAAATCATTTATTTTCTTATAAACAAAGAATTATGTTTTTGAATCAAGAATATGTATGTATTTCCCTCCCTATGCTTGCAATTTTTAGAATTTTAATTTATTTTATTGCATTCAATCCAATTAAATTTCACCATGTAGCATAACCATCCCTCCACTAATTAATAACTCATAATTTAAATATTTTAAGAAAAAATTTTTCTATCATCCTAAGTTTTTATAATTATTTGTCTAATTTTTGTACTCTTTAAATGTTGGAGGGGAAGAGAGAAAAACATAGAGAAAAAGGATAATAAAAAAAATGAAATACAAATCTGTGCATCACACTATGTCTTCATTAGTATATATATTAGGTCTGACAATCTTAGACACAACTTGTGAAGTCGATAAAAACCCAACACGAATTTAACGAGTTTGAATGTAATTTTAATGAATTCAGGTTGTTAACGAGTTAACTCGGCAGACCTGTGAAATAAACAAATCGATTTCGTGTTTAACATATAAACTCATTTCAACCCGTTTAATCCATTAACAGTGACACTATAAATTCCATTAAAAAAAATTAGGTCTCTCAACCTTATATCACGTCTTCCATCTTTCAGACTCATTCGAATTTGGTGGTAATTTGATGTTTATTTTTTTGTTTAGCCATAATTTATTGTTATAATAAATAGATCCAATATATATAATGTGTGACGAGTTGATGATTTTTTGTGTAGACTCGAAATACTCTACCAATTCTCTTATTTAGTGGGTGACACATGAGTTATGTCGAATAATTCGTCAAATAGCCGAGTTTGTGTACGTGTGTGATAATTAGATCCGTTTATATAAATAAATGAGATATAGATAAAGGGTTATTTTTAATACAAATCTATTCCGCTCAACATAAAATCATTTCACCTGAAATGATTGCCGGACCTAATATATATTATCGAAACCAATGGAAAACTTCAAGCGACCTCAACAAAATTATGAATGTTGAATTTTTCACCAACCATTTTATTAGATTGAAAGAGGGCTCCGTCCATGATTAAATCTCCGAATAAAGTTGCGTGCATCGTTCAAACTGAAAACAAAGAAAATGGCTGCCTATATATCTTTAGTTTCAACCACATTCGAACAACAAAGGTCAACCCATACCCTCTTTTATCAAATTTGTTTCCTTCTTTGCACGTTCTCTCTCTCTCTCTCTCTCTCTTGTTGCAGCTGCTGATTTTAACTTCCTCAACTCCTGCTGGCCCACACCAAGATTCTACATCATGGGTACCCTTTTTCTCCATTCTTTACATCATCCCTTTCTCTTATAAATCTCCCTGAAAAACCTCTCAAAGTCTGCAAAAACAATCCACTCTCTCTCTCTCTCTC